ACTTACGCCCCTGCTGGGCGCCCTGGTGGGCGTGATTGCCACACTCATACTGGTGGCCATTTGCGTGGTGATCGTTATCAAATTCCGCAGCAAGCGGGGCGGCAGGCGCCACGGGAACGGGGCCGATGCGACCACCACGGAGGCGGACAAGGGCAGCGCGGAGCCCCTGTCCCGCAACATGGGCAGCCACTCCAGCCTCGAGGACAAAAACCCGGATGTGGTGCCCCAGGAGGCCAACAGCGAGGACGAGTTCCATCAGGAGGAGAAGGCCTTCGACCGATTGAATATGGAATCGCAGCGGATTTTGTACACCCCGCCGACGCGGATTAACACCGCCTCCCCGCCACCGCCCTCGCTGTCGCCCACATTTGGCAAACAGGTGAATATCATTGTCTGTTCGATGTTACGACGTCTGATTCCCCCGATTAAATGTTTATTATTCTGAGAAGCTATTTAAAAGTGGTGTCTACTTTTTGGCTATTGTTTTATAAGATTATCAAAATAATAGACATCTTTTAGGGGCTCAAAATGAGATGGGAATTTTAGAAAGAAAATATACATTTGTTAGCTAATTCGCATAATGTGATTTGTAAGGAAGGTACAAAAAATACTTGTCACCAAAAATTATTATTAAACATATGCTTAAAATGCTTTGAGAGAACATATAAACACGTCTTTAGCAGGATCATTTGAGCTACACATCAGAAAATTGAGTTTTTATCGAAAACAGTAACTAGTTAGTAATCTGTTTAGTTATGATTTTGCTTACACATTAGTCCTTGGACTAGTTATGTAAAAAAATACATGACAAATTGAAATTTGTTAATTGTAATATCAATATCTCATTTAATTTGTACAGAAAATTCCTACGATTTATGCATGTACAAGCAAACAAAAACAAATGTTGTATAATTTCTTCGACGAGGGTATGGCAAGGTTACCTAAAACATTGTTTTATCTTTGCCGCCAATTAGCCAGAAACCGTAAATAAATTACACAAATTAGTTTCGTTGTTTTCCGCACCAACAACAAGTTGTTGGCCCACCGAAAACTTTTCCTTAGTGTCCATATTCAGTGCACTTTTGCTTAAATTTTTATCATTGTTTGGCTTTCTTTTTTGCTGTTCGAGGTCTGATGGACGAGAGCGGCATCAAATTTTGATGAGGAAAATGCTTTGCCTGCCAGTCGTCGTCAGCAAAAGTTCAAAAATGTTTGGCTTTTTGTTCAGCTTGGCTTTTTGTAATTTTCGGTTGGTCTGTCACTCTGAGTCGAGAGTTTCTAACAAGCTCATTAGAAGTTCTTGGTGTTTGTGTGGGTCAGTTTATGAACTTTTCGATTAGAAATTAGAAATTGTTTTTGTCAGCTTTCGTCATAAATGTAGCATCAAAAATGTTGAGGGAAATTTTCATCAAAGTTTTAGAGTAAATATTACATATCACAAAAAAAGAGCTAATTACAAGGAAAATCAAGTTGGGAAAAAGTGATTAAATTTTTTTTAAATATTTTTTACTGCTATTTAATTTCAGTACTTATGCAAGCTAAATGTATGGAAGTTTAAGGCTGAAATTACTATTAACGTGGTTTTTAACTATTAAGTTTGTGGATTGAATAAATTGAAATCAGTGAACTACTGCAAATGAGTAGACATTTATATTAAAGTTAATTCGTATTATTTAATCAATGTTTTAACTGCAAGTTACTACTATGTATTACTACTAATTAATTTTAAAAATAAATTCTGAAAATAACTATTGCCTATGAAAGTTATAATAATTATAATCAGTACATTTAAATTATTGAAAATACACCAGTTTTAGGATTAATTTCTCAACACGTTTATACATTTTGTATTGGTAGTTTATTAAACTATTAAATATTTGATCACCTATATTCGTTGTGCTCTTTTTCTGCAGTACGGTGAACTCTCGCTAACCACGAACCCTGCCTTCAGCCTGTACAACACGCCCCAGCGGGCACCTGCCGTTCAGCGACCCGTTTACACCGCCCCGCCGCCCCTTCTGTCCACAAGGACGCCCCCCAACATCTACACCCGCATTCCGGGTAGGGGGGTGGTGGGGGCGCAGTAACGGTCGCGGCGGCCGGGACCGGCGGCTATCACCTGCCGGCGTACGAGACCAGGACCTCGCCCACCTCCCCGTACGGATCCACCACCACCTGCACGATGCCCCTGCTGGGCGGCCAGTCCAACGGATCGCTGCAGACCAACGCCAGCGGGCTGGGGGGCGGGGCCCTGGGGGGCGTAGGGGCGTGCAACACCCTGCCCCATCCGGGAAGTCTGCACGTGGGCGGCATTTCGGCGGCCCTGACCAGCTCGGTGACCAGCGGCAACATCACCATCGGGGCGGCCCAGTCGCTGCTGACCTCGCCGCGCTCCCAGACGGCCACCTACAGCACCACCCTGGGGGTGGGCGGGGTACAGGCCCCGCTCCTGATGAGCGGTGGCGGGAACTACGAGACGGTGAGCTCCTGAGAGTTAGCCAAAGAGGACATCAAGTGTCAGATCGTGTGCATTGGTGGGAGCAGTACGTGCACCACCACATCTCTGGGCGCCGAACGCACCACCATCGTCTAAAGAACTATGACGATGGACTGAAGATTAGTCGACGAGGTAACTGAATCCCAAAATCTGTATTATAGTAGTTAAGCTGCATCAAAAACGCGACAAGACTTCCACACACAAAGAGCAGCAGGAGCAGATGGAAAACTAAGTTAAAAATCAGATGTATAGATATAGCCTATGTGTACTGGATTAGCATTGTTTTTGAACCCGACTAAAGTGTAAACTGAAACCACAAAGGAAAGCATTTATTTAGCTTACTACTGTACCACACGAATCTGTCTTTGGGCGCAAAAAAAAACGAATAGGGAGTGGAATACTTCAGTGAACAAAGGAGCTATGCTTGTGAAATTAACGAAAAACTAGTTTAAACTTCAAACTAAGAGATTTACTGAATCGCAACTAGTTAAGCCATAGATGTGTATATATGTAACTTAATTTAGGATCAGGTCAGCTAATACTTAATCTAGTTTAACGACTTAGCCACTTAATGTAGCCTAAACTAAATTGAACTTAGTTAGTCACATTGCGAATCTACGAAAAGACTATCCCCCTGATCATATTTATGATAAAATTACAGAATTTAATGGCATATCTCTATATCGACACAATACATATAGCACGAAAAAGCAGCAGCAACCAACAAAGGAATCTGAAATAGACGCAAACTATATATATTATAAATGATACGTACGATACGACACAATACGATACAATACGATATGGTGTGGAATGAAATGAGTTATACTTGTATATGTGAATCGAATCATATTTTTTGTTAAATGTGTAATGAAATTTTATACGCATCTGTTGTCGAGAACTTTATCTATATAATACGAATATCTAAAAGATCTGTATGTATCCATGATTATATCGCGCGCAAAAAACAAAATAAAAACAAAAGTTCAATGTGTCTCCGCCACCACCTGCCCAAGGAAAAGCTCCATTTCCAATTCAACGTAGTTGCTCTAAGGCCGAACTAAAAGTTTTCCCGTTTAAAGATTCTTTCTCCGATCACGATCACACCCCGCCCACCATAAAAAGAACCCAACATGCAAAGTGCTTCTTTAATGACAAAATCAAATTGAATTGTGACTCGAATTATAAATTGAAAAAAAAAAAAAACGAAAAATGAAAAACTTAAGATTGAAATTTAATTTTGGTTTAGACTTAGCAGCTAAGGACTTTCGACTCTACAAATATAAACATAGGTATATATATATATATATTTTCTTAATTAATCTTTGGTTTGTAAGCGAATTGAATATTTATTTTCCATGCGAACATTATTACTTTTCGTTTAGTTATCTTTATTGTAAAGCAAATGAAAACTTAATATTGCAAATGAGCAAAAACAAGTGAAAATAAGTGAACAAAAAATAAAGAATGAAAATGTGTATAAAACTCTACAGTTTTTGTGATTATTACAACAAAGAGTGGGTAAAAATTTGCAGCAAAATCAAAACTGAATATTCTGTGAGCTGAAAAACGGAAAGTGCTTGCTCAAAAATTAAAAATCCTTGACCAAAAAACGTTCTGGCTTCCTCGGCAGTGAGGTTTTCGAGCATGTGAGCTCGGACAGCTTGTTTTCCCTGATTTATTTGGAAATATTTTTCATAACTTGTGGCAGTGGGGGGGTGGCCAAAGTATACAGACACCCACCCGTAAAAATCCCATTTCACCACAGGACATGAGTCGTGTACGCATATTTGTCCTTTTGGCAGGACACGCAATACACTTTTGGAATTAATTAACGCAACCCCAGAAGCAGCCCGAAAACCACTCAACCACCCAGAGCCCACACTCAAACCATCGACCGAACACCAAAAAGAAAACAAAGCAACGACATGTGTGAGTGGCTGTGGAGTGGCGCAGGAAGGCTGGCTGGATGGATGGATGGATGGATGGATGAATGGATGAATTTGGGTGCTTGTTGTTTGTCCACATCCTGCGGCGAAACTTGTCACAGACTAATTTCGTGTCTCAGCTCATAAATTGATATTAATGAGCCGCCGCCGCCGCCCCGTCTCCCGATCATTTTTCGCGTTTGCCTAACGAATATTTAACTTTCGCTTCAGCACAGTTCGACTGCCTTCGTTTTGGCTCGGTTCGTTAGATTCCCTGACAGTTACAAAGTGGCAGTCAAGTAGATGGGTAATTCGAGCAGGACACCAATGGCCTGCGGCTCCTCCGACATGAGTTGGCATTCAAATGAACATGTGTGCTCTTTTGGGTGGGAAGCAAATTTTTTGCTCCACTTCCCCGAGGAAAACTGACACATCGAATGAATCATTTGTGTTTGCCACAGGAAAACTCGGTCAGACATCCACGAAGTAAATGTGTAAATTCATTAGCAACATTTTGGGTGATAATCAACTTAAAAGGGTAAGAATAAAGCACCGTCGAATTGAAAACTATGATGTGCGTGATGAGTGTTTTATTGTTTTAATGTGCTTTGTATTATATGTGATAAAATATGGATAGAATATGGATTCCCTTAAAAATGTTCTTAAAGATAGCCACACTCTGTTGATATTTAATTCCTTTGTCTAGATTTATTTGGCACTGGCCTGAACTTTCTTCTCCAAATTCTCCATTCATTCAAATTCGCTGTAAGTGGGACTACCATTTTCTTGGGCGTTTGTGAAATTTTCCATTTCGCTGTGTTCCCTTAGGCGGTCTTGTATATTTTCGATCTCCTCGGGTTCCCCATCATCATTTAATTCCATCTCAGAATCTGATTGAAGATTCTGCTCCAGAGTTCTACCGCTTTCCAAATTCACAATTTGGCCAGCTTCCACTTCACTGTCGTCATCGTCTGTGTCTATAAACTCCTTTGTCTTGCACTTCTTGGCCGACTTATTTTCTTTGATCGTAGTTCTCTTTCGGGATTTCTGGGCAGTTTTCTTTTTGAACTGATCGTCAGAGTTTTGCTCCCCGTCTGCATCCACATTCTTCCGATTTTTCTGGCCACGTCCTTTGCCCATCGTCGACTCCTTTTTGGCCAGTTCAGACTGTAGAGGGGCTTTCATAATTTGTTTGGTTCGTTCTAGGATTTCTTTGCGCTTGGCTATCTGATTCTCTCGGAGAACGCGCTCCTCCTCCTGCCGCTGAATACGCTGCTCCTCTAGTTGCTGCTGGTGGGCCAGGAAACGCTGCTCCTGCAGACGAATGCGGTCCACATTGGACAACTCTAAGTTACCCACACGCTGGAGCTCTTCGGGTAAATCAGCTAAAAGATCCTCGCAATCTTGCCACCCTTTGGCACAAGCGCTCACCGAAATGGCCGTTGCGTTTTGGTATAGATGGTAAAAATACCTGAAAAATATATTTGTTATGATATTTGTATATATTTGCAATGTAAAATGTTCTTTGTACTTACTTATGGGCTACTTTGAGCTCGAGTTCCGCCCTCTTGAGATCATTCGATCCGGGTCGGGGAAGGATAAAGACTTGGTCTGCATCCTTTTTGATGATCAGTGCCAGATTAAACATTAAAGAAGGATCGTGTGGGGCCAAGTGTCGGGCTTTGAGTAACCACATCTTAGCCTCGCGGGCTTTTCCCTCGCCATATAGGGCTCTGGCTAGATAGTGCATTACCTCCACACAGTTTTCCGGCAGACAGTCCTGCAGGCATTGCTTGTAAGTCTGACTGGCTAGCTTGAATTGACCAAGTTCCAAAGCAATGTGAGCTGAGTTTAGGATAGCGGGGGGACACTCATTCCCAGCCTCGATGATATGCCTGAAGATAGCCCCACCTTCGGACAGGTTATTGCAACTACTTAGGGCGGCCCCAATGCCATTGGCTGCCCACAAGTTCCGCGGACTGCGATTAAGAACCTGGAAATTAAAATTTCGCTGGTAATTACCATATGAAAACAGTTTTTCGTTAGCTAATCCTACCTTCCCGTAATAACTTAAGGCTCTTTTCTGCTGTCTCTTGGCTGAGGACAAATCTCCTCTAGTCAAGGCACTGTGAATCATTTTAAGACAAAAATTTCCCAGAGCCACCATGGCGTAGGTATCCTTGACTTGCGTGCAGTTGCGCAAAATCGAATTGTAATTTACTATAGCATGTTTGCTAAGATTCAACTTCATATAGCAGTCTGCCATAAAAATCCTACAATAATTGGAACTCAAATAATTTGTTAATGAGTTTACTTAAACAATTTAAAATATATTGTGTTCTGTGAAAATAATCATAGTCAATGAATAAAAAACTTTTCTTAAATAAATAAAACAGAAAAATAATAAATAATAAAATATTAGAGAAGTTATAATTTTTCCCCCTTATTTTTGTAATGTTCCGATTGTTTCCATGGGAGCTGTATTATAAAATCGTCCGATTTTGATCGAATTTTAACCGTAATTCCAAAATAAAAGATTACTACATATATTGTTTTTGGTCTCGAAAACATAGTTTTAAAATAAGAAGGCCACTGCCGGAAAATTAACGAGTAATTTTATTGATCTTAAACTGACATGACTGAACGGACTGACGGACATGGCTAGATCGTCTCGCCTGTTGTTCCCGAGCAAGAATATATGTACTTTATAGAGTCAAAAACGCTTCATGTTAGTGTTTACTCTACGAGTAATAGGAACATAGTTAGGGCATTTTTTAAAATTAATAGTGTTTGTTCTGTACGATGATTATTTTTTTTTTTAAATCAATAGTTTTTGACCCACCTGGCTGCAAGACTATCGTTGTCCGCGTTAAGGACATCCTTAAAGTATTCGCTAGCTACGGTCAGTTTATTCTGCTGCATCGCCATCACACCTAGTCTCAAATAGCAGTCGTAATAGCTTGGATAGTCATTGATTATGTTCTTGTAGGCAGTCTCGGCCAGGTCATACTTGTGTAGTTCTTCCAGAATCCGGGCACGGTTGAATCGCATGGTGAGCAAATTGGTGACCATGTGATCCCCACCCTTGATGCCACACTGGAAAATGGCCTTGTCGAGGGTGTTGAGAGCAACCTGTGGCATTTTGGCCTGCATCTGAGTGGCTGCCAGGTTATTGAGCCACTCGATCTGGATTGCTTGTCCCAACTCGGTGCTAATCTGTATAGCCTGACTGTAGGCAGTGCTGGCCTGCTCCCAGAGCTGCATTTGCTCACATGCAAATGCCAGAGTCAGTCTGCTGTCTATATCATGGCGAGCGGAGCCCGACTTCACCACCTTGAACAGCATATTAAGGGCTTTATCGATTTGTCCTGGAGTTGTTTCCTGCAGATAGATTTTGGCCAGCAGCAGCATTGCCCTGTTCTCATTGGGCTGGAATTCGACGAATATTTCCAAGTTGATCTTGGCCTTATCGATTTTCCCGTCCCTTAAAAGCATTTGGGCCAGACCCATGCGGGGCAGCACATATCCCTCAGGTGCTAGTCTCACGGACAGTTGGTAGAACTCCATGGCCTGATCGAACTGCTTGGTGGCATGGAAAGTCCTGGCAATCTGGAAGCAGTTCTGCGACTGCAACTGCGGAATGTCGGTGCGCTTGTAGGCATTTCCGGCCAGAACCAAGACCTTTTCGTAGTCCCTGACATAATAGAAATGCGTGGCGAGGATACTCATAACCACCGCTTGGCGGTTGTTCATTTCGAAGGTCGCACACAACAGATTTATGCCCTCTTGAGTGGACTCCTTCTCGAGCTGGTTGAGTTTTAGTAGGGCCATGCCGACCAGAGCACTCTGACATCGGCTATTGTGTACCAGAGCCAGTTCGAACGATCGACGGGCTTTATCCAGTTCACCCATGTTGCGGAAACAGTGCCCTATACCGACGCGGACGTCCGCTGGTCCTCGGGGCTGGGCCATTAAGATACTTTTAAAGAAACCCAGCGACGGAATGTAGTCCTGACGGTTGAAGGCCAAACAAGCGCGTCCAGCCAGGGCCATAATGTTGTCCGATTTTTCTCTGATTACGGAAACAAACTGCGCATCGGCGTCTTGGGCTCTGCCAGCGGATAACATCAGGGCGAATCCCTTAACCACTTGGAGGCTGCGATCGTTAGGTCGCTGCATCCCATCTAGCATGCTGAGAATATTCGTTACCTTGGCCTGCAAGACCGTTCGCCGGTTGCCCAACTCCTTGTTGGCCTGCCTGGTGAAGTGGGCTGCGAGCAGAATATAAGCCCTGGTCAGGTCGTCTTTATAGCCCGCGTACAGCGTTTGGCATTTTTTGATGCCAGTCTCTAGAATCCCCACAAAACTGTCCCACTGGTGTTTGGAGTAGCTAGCGAGCTAGGACAAATGTTAGATATATAATTGACAAGTTGCTTAAGAACTCACAGCTTTATCAATGCAAGTGCCCAGCAACATTTCATCCATGGAAGAAGCATTTAAAACTTCTGGTGAATTACTGTCCATTGGCACTTGCAGCACTTCCGTTTTTTTAAAAGCCATCTTCTAAAAACGATTTGAAGGAACAATTAGTTTTCACTGACAAATCCTAGGGTTACCAAACTCTATACATACATCGGTATATTAAAATGACACGATATTTGTTCAAACTAAAAAAAGGTTTGCCTGAAAGTTTCAAGGGTAGCATAACATTTAACAACACTTTTTTCACACTTTTTTATTTTTTAGTTATCTTTTGAAAGACAGCAGAATTGCACTTAAACTGGATTTTTCAACATATACGAAAATGAACTACCTTTTTTGTACCTTACCTTTATTTTCTCTAATACTATGTACCTTATCTAGGTCCCAAAAATAGCACAATTGCCAACACTGTTGGTAAACTATCTTAATTGTCCTCCATTTTGTAATTATAACCGCTATTTTCTTTATAGCCAAGCCTATATTTTCCTATACTATTGTTAAAAACTTCGTTTTATTTAATGTTTGTTAAAAATGCAATGCTTAAAACAGATTTTAAAAATAAACTAATAAACTTTGAGAATAATCTTTTATTACCCTCAAGAATTCGATCAATAGCCCGCTCAATGTCAATGCCAGGGCTACAATTGAAAATCACTTTGATGACGCAAGTTACAATGATTGCTATCCCCACTTACGCTTTCAGTTTGAGCGTAATTATTTCATGATTCCGCTTTGACTCGATTTTCGTTTAGCCCGATTATAAAAGCATTTTGCTGGCGTTTTTTGCTTGTCACCAAACTTGACCCAAAAGGTGCAAAGGCGCAAACAATCAAGCTGCCATTGCTGTCAGTCCGTCACTCGATGTGCCCCACCTGCCCCTTGGGCCAATTGTCGCTTTGTTGGCGGAGTGTAAAAATAAACAAACATTCGGTTGAACAATACTAATCCATTCGATATGGGTTGCCCGGATTAGCTACCAATTTCACATCCGCGTGTAGTAGGGAACTTGTTCTTTTGGTCTCCGGTCTCTGGGGGTATAAATACTTGGCTTCGACTTGAGAACAGCATCAGTCAACGCACTTCCAATTCTTGAGAACGTTCGTCGAACACAAGCAAAAAAAAAACAATCAATATGAAAGTAAGTGAAGCTTGTATAAAAATATCCTTTTGCCTCTTAAAAGTCAAAATAATCTAATCTAATTAACTAATCTAATTATCAATTGAACAGAAAACTTATACTCAAAAATGGTGTTTCCAAATTTAATTACAAAAATGTTCAAGTTACAAAATTTTTTGTTTTTTTAATATATTTTTTACCATTATCTTTATTTTTTCCCTGTAGTTCCTCATCTGCTTGGCTCTCTTCATCGCCGCCGCCCAGGCTCATGTTGTGGCCCCCGCTGTCGCCACCTATGCCGCTGCTCCGGCCCTGACTTACGCCGCAGCCGCTCCTGTGGCCACCTATTCCGCCGCCATCCCCCGCGCCTACTCCGCCTACGCCGCTCCATCCGTTTACGCCGCCCCCTCCGTCTACTCCGCCCCCTCCGTCTACTCCTCCTACGTGGCCTCGCCCTCCGTGTACTCCGCCTACGCCGCCCCCGCCGTCGTCTCCACTCTGCTCAAGAAGTAAAGTGTGCCGATCGATCACATAATTCCCGTACGTCCCTAGTTTTGTAAACGATTTTCCATGAAATAAAGCTGTGAATTTTCAAAAACTAAATGGATTTCATTGATTAAAACCTTTTACAATTGGTAAATTAAAATTTTTTAATAAGCTTGTCATTCATAGACATCACTACTCCAATGAAATTACGGACTTAAGCGACAAGAATTAGTTAATTAAGTATGAAAGACTTCACTTAGGTGCAAATAAATAGATTTATTAAGGAGAAAAAAATAGTCAAAAGCAATAAATTGTTTATAGAACACCAGTATCTGACATGTTTTGGACTTAAGTTATGCATTTATGTCATGACAGGGAAACTCTCTTCTTTACTTCAAGAGTTTTTTTGATTTTTCATAAAAACTAATAAACAAAAATAAAAAATTTTAAAATCTTCTTGGTCAAGCAATCAGGTAACTAAATAACAGCGATGAATAAAGTGTTTTTATATTTGAAATTTATTAAAATTAAAAACATTTTGGCTCAATAGAACTCATATAATAATGCATTCAATTACAAAATTGTGTTATATTTCTTATATGATAGCATCCAGGGGTTAAGCCAGCACAGCCTGTTTTTATTCCATTCTGAGCCAATGAAGTTGACAGAACCTTGTGAATTCGTTGGTCCTGCTCAACACTCGCACACCTGACAGCCTGCAAGGTGTTTAAGGTTAATTCGCTGGCACACATATTTTATTTAAACCTGGTTGCTGGCTCAGTTTAGACCCTGGCATGTGGCTCATGTTATGGCATCCGCCCGCCCGTTAATGTTATGCAAATGAATTACGACTCGACTGGGCTAGGACTGTGTCGTGCCCAGGCACGTGGTTGGCACACACTCATACACTCACACACTCGCAGCCAGGAACATATAATCCCCAATATGGGCGGCCCATAAACATGGACCACAAGCAGGACTTTGGGCTTTGAGACTCCTGGAGTTGAGCACTGTTCCGAGCGCCCAAGTAAATTTATTGATTGTTTCGTAATGCACTTAGCCCGGCTAAATCCTTTTATGCCGGGAAAAAGTGCTCCCTTTTTCGATACACTTCCGACAGACGATTATGCAGAACAACAAAAGTTTTCCCCGCTACATTTCCGGGGAAAAGTTTAGCCTAAATCACTTAGACCTCAGAGGAAAAACAAGTGTTGGCATGTCGAAAAATCAGAAGCCTGTGTGGGTGGGAAAACTTTAGAAAGTTTGGCAAAACAGCAACAAGCAGTAGTCAAAAGTTGTGAAATCTAGATACTATTTCAGCAACGAGTTCTCTGGCTCCCAGCTAAAAACCCTAAATAATTAATCAACAAATTACTAGAGCTTGTCCTGGTAAATATTTAATTAAACATTGGCCAATGACATTCTGGAAAATATACAAATTTAGCAGTCACCTCTTAAATACTATCTCTCAGTCATTGACTTGACAAATAAATTATTTAAAAGTCAACAGGCAAATTAGAGATTTAGATTTGTTTTTGGTGTTGAGTGGCAGAGGAAGGAAATTTTGCATAAATTATGGATGGGATGTATTGTTGGGCAATTAGTTGACCAGTGCAAACGAGTAAAGCGAGAGATTATTTATGTTACTGTTATGGAAAACAAACAAACAAATTGGCTAGAATAAGTCGGATGTAAAAGTAGACAGATTTTATATCGGTCCTATTGTGCATCGGCACTTCAGACGTCAGGCTCTTGTTGTTTCTGTGTTTTTTCAAATTTTTTATTTTAGACACGGACGTGACAATACTGGCACAAGTCACCATTGTCAATGGCATTTTCAAAGCAAGACAAAAGGAAACCAGGAGCGTTTCTCCCCACCAGATTCCCCATTTTCCTGCCACTTGAGACGCAGCCAAATGCCCCAGGACGTGTTTGATATGCACTCCATCCTGGCATGGGCTTAATTACAATGGGAAGGACAACAATACAACAATATTGTGTGCACACAAAATTTATAGCAAACGGTACCCTGCAGATGGAAGAACGGAATGAATATCGGATTATGTCTACTTGGTAAAAGCAGCTTTTCCCGTATTGTTCGTTTCGATTTGAATTGAAGCATCCTTTAAAATCCAGCAGAAATCAAGGGAATGAGACGGAAATGTAGATGGATGCATCGCCGCTGCATTATTATTTCATATTTCTTGGCGCTTTTGTGCTAGGACATTACACCCAATGCCATGGCAGCGGTGAAATTATCCTTTATCCTTTGAGTTTTCCAATCAGATGTTAGTTTAAAATCAAATAACAATATGATGAATTCAGGTTAACTAGATTGTTTAATTAGCTGAAAATGAAAATCCTAATCACCGATGCAATACATATTAAATACAGCTGCTTTAGACCTCGAAGTTAAGGGTCAAAAATCATTCCTATTCATCTGGCCTACAAACTTCATGCTTGCACACTTTTTGCCTAGTTCTAAAGACCTTAAATATGCAATGCATAATATATATATTGCTCTGACTTCAGTCCCACAGACTTTATGCTCAAATGGAACCGAATAACTATTTCATGGTAAAATCCATAAAATGAAAACTTTTGCTTTTCCGGACAGCTTTGTGTTTAAATTAATAAAACATTTAGCCAGTTTGAGTACAAGTACACTTTGCTGTGCAAACAAACTAAAATTAACTAAAAATGTTGAGAGTGGCTGCAGCAGCGGCAGAAACATTAAGCAAACAGCCCAAAAGTACGCTTCAACTTTGGGCATTACATAAATTCCACACACCACCAGTCACCCACTAACCAACACGCACCAAACGCACTACAAGCAAAGGCAACAAAAGCACATTAACGCTTAGATAGCAGGAAGAAAAGGGGGGAGGGGGCCAGGAAAAGAAGCTAGCAAACAACCATAACATTTATCACGAACACTTAAGTTGGCTGAAAGGGGAAGAGGCAGGAAAACCGGGGAAAGACGAGACAGGAGCAGAAGTTTTGGTGGGCGGTTTGTTAAATCAATTTGATAAACTGTCAATAATGGGAAATAATTTAATGCGCAGCATCCAAGTCAACCAGATGGAGGGAAAACTGGGGAACAGATTTCCCCCGACTCATCGTCATAAGCAATTATGATGAACTTGAGTTGGATTTTCCCTCTTTTTCCCCTCGATTTTCCCACATTTTCCTCATCATTCTGCTCCCTCTGTTTGCTATTAGCACTTGCTGAAGTCAGGACAAATTTTTGGTTACTTGGACAAGCGAAAGCCGAGATTTATCAAAGATATCACCGAGATGGACCAGTCAACAATAACGCAAAGTGTCAACAGAAGCGGCAAGGGGAAGACAACAAAGCCGGAAAAGGAGGCGGAAAACCGGGGAAAAGTGACGGAGGAAAAGCAGATGAAGATGCTTAAGCAAAGCGGGCAGATAACAACGGCCAAAATGGCAACAGCAACACTGGGGAGAAAACTGTTCCGGAATTGCGTACTACCAATCTTAATATTGGGTCAGGAAAACCGCCAAAACTATAAGTTTTTCGCCACATACAAAATATTATATGACTTACATGGTAATATTTTTTGAATGGTTGAGACTTTGCCGCAAAAAATAGTGTGCCAACTTAAGCGTTAAAAGTGCTTTGAATATAATGAAGTTAAATAAGAAAACAATTCATTAATTAATTCATTTGGATTAAATTTTTATCTGGCTACTCCTCAAAATGTCCAGGCAGTTATTTTTTATTGGGTAATTTTATTTCAATCGAATGAAACGAGATAAAAAGCCAAATTAAAAAAATAATTAAACCAGTTTAATATTAGCAAATGAAATCTTAAAAAATTAGGCAGTTACACTTTTGATGGGTTTTAAAAATACAATCTTAAAGAGTTAGATGAAAAAGAAAGGTTTTTATATTCAAAGCTCACAAAGACGCCAAATGACATGTTTACAATTTAATTGTTATTTGAAATCGAAGATTCAGCTTGTTTCAGGAATTTTTCTCTCAGTTTCAGGAACATATTGTGTAATCCTTTTTCCCAGTGAGCTTTGACAGAATTGTTCAGAGATTTCTATAGGTGCTGGAGATTGGGGGAGGCTACAGCCCTATATAGAAGAGGGCTGGGGAATGGGGTGACGACACTGACGATGTCTGTGCGTGCGTGCCCGAATCCTTTTGTGCGGGCTGTTGGAAACGACCTTCATAAAACAAACACGCCGATAATGAGTGAACAGTCGTAGGTTTCCCCGAAAGCAAAGGGTCTGAATCTGAAAACCAGGACGAGGAAGGAGTATCACATTTGGTGCCAGGCCACGAAGTGGAGCTACCATTTCGACTGTGTCTACGAGTCTCAATTGAACGAATTTCCCGGGTTCCTTTGTGAGTGCAACTAACTGGGCGATAATCGGCATTTGATTTGGTGCCGTCGAAAACTTTTCTCAAGAGTTTACCTCTGTCCCAGCCCCGGTTATTCCCCGGTTTTCCCCAATTTTCCACACTTTTCCGCATTTCCCCTTGCGACAGCTGATTGTGAAGTCAACTCTAGTTTGGCTCTGGCCTGAGTTATGTGATAAGGGCTTTGTCGAGGCCTTCGGCAAATCGATTTCGGTCTGGCGAAATTTTAAAGGTTGAGAATTGAGAAAGAGGGAGATTTCGGTGGCGAATGTTAATGATGTGTGCCACCGTAAATGGGTTACGGATAATTGTTGCGGCTTACGTTTTCAGTTTGCTTGGGGAAAATGGGTCGAATGGGGACTATTATAATTCGTTCTCTATAAGGGTGTTTAAAGTTTACAAATTTATGGTAGTTTATTTATAAATGGAAAAGAAAAATGTAATGCCTTTAAATTTTTTCAATGTAATAGAAATATGTATAAATGAATGCTAGCAGGTAGCTTGAAAATTATACATAGACTCCTGTTTACTGAAAAAAACGCTTATTATTAACATGATTAAGGATTCAGTTGAGTTCAAAGGTTCTTTTTCACCTTTAACCTTTCTCCGCTTTAATCTAATAATTATTTCGCATTTTTTGAGATTCCTTTCAGATCTTTCTCCTTGTAAAACTCTTTTTCTCTTTGCCCGAGCAACATTAAGCCAGTTAAGGAGCGGAAGTCATGTTAGCTCCGGCCTGCCACGCCCGTCTGACAGAACGCCCCCGCTCTTTTCTGCCCACCTGCTAAATTTGCATAAAAGATGCTTTTCACTTTGCCAGCCAAAGAAATGAGAGCTCAGCCTGCAAATATCTCAGGACGGTTGCCTTCGCTTTTGTTGTGTTGGTTGCCTGGCAGCCAAGGGAAATAAAATATTTTTTTGGCAAAGGAAAAAGCAGGAGAAAATGTAAACTAAACGGCAAGAAGCGCACGAGGGAGACACGCGAAAAAAAGGGAAATAGCAACACATGGAATTTTCCGTTTTTGTTGGGTTTCATTTTTGTTTTTCTGTTGTCGTGTGGAATTAACTTAGCGGAAGCGGAAATGGAAAATGGAAATGAAAGCTGCTGCACAGGGGCATATGGCCAGTGTCAAGGCTCAAGGATGTTCGCCGACAGCTGTTCGCCCCTTCATTCTCCTTTTGGCCATCTCCTTTGTGATGGAGTTTTCCTGCATTTTCCGGCTAATCATACACTGATAGCAGACTGCCTTGCTGCTGCTCGACGTCATCTCGGGTTGTGTGCGAGTGCGGTCACAAAAATTTGCCAGTAATTGCAGCAGTAAATGATGAGAGCTGGCCAGTAAAAATACGTATTTTGTTAGTCAAATGCATCCCGTTTTTATTGAATAGCTCACTCAAACAGCTGAGCATCAGCCACGTTAAGGTGGCTATCACCATCATCAGATTGTTATGGGCTTGTTCTTCCGGGGCCACTAAACGAGAATCACTTATCACTTATATAGATGGAGCTGAAGAGTTAATGTCCGTACCTCCCGGAGCTGTAAAGTTCTCACAGCTGGTCATTGTCTATAAAAACTTTACTGTTTCGCTGTATAGTTCGTCTAGTACTGACTCTCATTCACTTTACTTTACTGTGCCAGCTCAACTGGGTTCTCTGGAGAAGCTGTTTTTCTATCTTTGGCTAAGCGTTTATCACTTATGTGAATTGGTCAGAGAAAAGTACAAAACCACTTGGCGATTTAGAAGTCATATGATTTTTATTTCATATTGATTCATAGGCATTTATGAGGGCTTAGAATACTGATAAGGTTTTGGATTAAGTAAAATTTGATAAGCTATCATATATTTTTTTTGTTTGCCAAACTTTGTCTCCATTTCACTTTCAATTGCATGTATCGATACAATTTCATTGATACATCTATTTATAGTGGCTCTTACCTCATTCAACCACCTAACCTCGTAATTCCCTCCCCCTCCCCTTCCCCTTCACACCCGCCCCTGCCATCAACAATTGTAACTGTTATTGAAGGCGTTGCTCTTTATCATTTGCCGCATTGCATGACTTGAGCTAGTATATCAATATCAGGGAAGCACCTTTTCCCAATTCCACCCCTCTTTTCAGAAAACTTTCGCTGCCTTTGACACGCCGAAACAAAGGAAACTGGCAGAACCACTAATAAAAGCCAAACTTGCATTTATGGCCAAAACAAACAAATATTATTGACGAAATTATTGCCGGCGCCCAAAACAAAATGCAAAGAATATAAAATGTTCGTTTTTGTTGTTCACTTCGTGACGTTTTTCTAGGGTAAAACGGTGGCAGTCTGATGGCAAATCAAGTGCAATCCTTGCCTTGAATCCCGCCGCCATCGGTTTTGGCCAATATCTGCCACTTTGGCGTATGAAATCCGCATTATTGTGCAGTACACCTCTATGTTTTTTAGGATTTCCGCCCTTGACAAGCCCGGAATATCCGGCGGATGCGAGTTTTGGTTTCCGGTTGCGGCAAAAACTAGATTTTGAAAAAGAAACCAAACAAATAGAACCAAGAAGAAAACTTATAATAAATGCATGTTGGAATAAAAATTCAAAAAAGTTGCATTAGCTTTGACTACTTGATTTCTTTGTGTTTTGGTGAATAAAATATACCTATCACATATGATATTAAAATGTTTCAAAAATGGTGAGCACTGGACCAGTTCAACAAAGGACAACAACCATTGAAAAGCTCAGACAAATGCTTACTTATGTTGTTACACATTAGCCCCAATTTGTGACACTCCTTTCAATGGGCATGTCGAGGACATCAAGGGAATGATGTCAAAGAATCATTTCACTTATTATTAGCAATTTCGTAATTGTATTCAGGAATCTTTCCCTCGGGAATACGTCCTCTTCAGTTTCCCAACAAGCTCTCTGGGGAGAATGAAATGGAGCAAATCACGATGCAAAAGGCAAGTAAAAGGAGGGCAGAAGTGGGTTTCCGTTCCGTATAAAGAAAGCCACATAAATGTTTCCTTTCTACAGTTCTTCCAGCTTCACCATTTTCCCCTCCCTCGATTTTTTTTTCTCTTTTCAATGAATGATGAATGCTTGATATCTCTCAGTCTCCGTTCTTACATTTTCTTTGAGTGTGTGGAAGTCGTAATGAAATTAAATATTTAAGCTCGCAATGCTTGAATGGGCTAGGGGAAAATGAGAGGAAAAGCGGAAAAGTACTGGAAAAAGGACACACAAAGCGCACCCATAACTTTGTGCCTTATGTTTCACAACATGCTGTGGTTTTGGTCCCTTTGAATTGCGTGGCTTTGGATTAGGATTTGGATTAGGGATGCGCACCACTTCAGACAATAAAAAGTGCAACTGCAACATTTGCAGCTGCCACCGGCGGATTAAGCCAACTACTGCGGCATTACAAAACGCTGCCAACGTCATCATAATCAACTTTTCCCCAGACACTGGCTTTTTCTCCCTGTTTCGAAGGCTTTCGGAACGTGCTGACACCTCGGAAAAGTTGCCAACTTCCACTGTCGATTATTGGCTGTCAAATCAGAATTTATTTTGGCAATGCATTCGATTCGGCATTTTTCAGCAGACCATTGCAAGGTGTTCTGGTGTGAGGTGGCGCAAACACGTCTAAAAGTCGAAACTGGAAAAACTTTTTTGTTTGCGAAGTAAAGAGTGTTTTAGTGGAGCTACAAATGTTTTGGGAAGTTTAGATGAAGTGATTTAGCAAGTTTAAGAATAGGTTTATACTTAGAACTTGAAGAATTACATAATTATCTGACTTAGTCTATTGGCATGCAAAACCTTCAAGTCACTATGATAATTTTACCAATGAACTTCACAGGAATTAATAATAGAAAACTGAGCTATTATAATATGCTACTCCTCTGAACCTTAAATTCTGTGAAACTCTGCGATAAATTACGTAATGCCCCATACTACATAAATAGCAAACGCATTCGAGCGGCAATGCAACAATTTTTAATTACCATTTAGGCGCTTCAACGAGCATTACAGACAGGCAAAAAAAATAAATAGATAGGGGAAATTGCTGGCAGCACTTTGGTCTCGACTTTTTCAGCATTTTTCCCTTGCCAAGCGTTTAAAAAAAATTAAAAGCAATGAAAGAAAAGTCAGAAAAAGGCAAAATACAGTGAAAACGTTAAAAGGAGAAAAACAAACGCCAGGGAAATTAAGTCAATGTCCTGCGGGTTCAGTTGCGTTTTGGATAAATGTAATTAACCTTTGGGACCGCGAACACTGAGATGGGTCTGTCAACTAAAAGAGAAAAAGGACAACAGATGCGAAAAGCCAGATTATTTGGTGTAAATGATGGGTTAACATATTTGCGCCATTTTCCTGATATCGCTAAACACACAAGGGGTAGCAAGATTTAGTTGCTACTCGAAGACATTCATCACTTTAAATAGACCACGAACCACATCATTAGTGCAGTCGCCTTGCAAATTAATTACAATCGAATTGAAAGGTGGAAAACTCAGGGGCACAGCTGGGTGGGAAAATGGGTGGGTGGGAAGGCACACAACGAGTATCAATGGAGGACAAGCTGAGAGCCAAGAAACCCCAAAATCCAAAGTCAAAGTTCCGTGAGATTTTGGCCAACAATGAAGCCCCGTTGTAATTACCTTCGCACACATACACACACACAGGCACACAAGCACACTAGCACACTGGCACACTGATAAAGACGGTCACACACACATAATTAACTCGATAATGAGGACAAAACCCGTAGCCACACGTACAGTCAAGCCCAGAAAACCCAAACCCCACCCAAGTTGTCGCAAATGTATGTAATGGCGTGTTACAGTTGTTGTTCCTGCGGTTAGCCAGGGGGCACTGGAGGGTTAAGGGGTACGCATTGGGTTGAGGGGCAGGGCACCCCCATTCCTATTGGGTTTTGTTTGCCACGATAATGACTTCCGCTTCGACAGAGCCGAGGATGACAGAGCCGGAATTTGTAATTGCTCCTAAGCGTTTGCCATTCTCGATCTCAATTTCCAGCGTTTGCCTTTGATTTTGCTGCCCCAAAAGGAAAAACTCACCAGTTAGCACCCCTCTCGCCATTTTGCACACATATCCTGGAATGTGCCTTTGTGTTTTTGGCTTGGCTTAAAATTTATACGCATTTGACCCGAATGTCGTTGTGCACAAGGAAAGCCGTCTGAATGCGAAAATAGGTGTGAAAAACTATGCAGGAAAATTGCGGGCCAGAAAATTGGTTTGATGGGGACACTACAAAGTGTTTGCTATGCTAATTCCTGAAAGGGAAGAATTATATTTAGCACTTGCTGCAATTGTCGGAACCAGTTGGAAATGGCAAATTAGAAATTGTCTTGATATATATTTACTTCTTAAATAGCAACATACAATGGGCTAATTGCAAGGAAACGCAGATAAGAAATGTATTTTGAATACTATAAATTTCTTTGTTAAACAAGTAAGTACAATGTAAGAAAACACATTACACGATTACATTTTGTTCATGCTGATTCTTAGAACACAAAGTATTAGTTTTATATATATTTTTTTCAGTTGTTCTGTAGTAAATGAAATTAATTTCACTTCTAAATATTTTTTAATTTGATGAGAGATTGTTTCAAATGCTATCATATATAGTTTTTCTGAGGAACTCGAGAATTACTAATTAATGTATTTAGACAGGTGCTTTACAAACACAAAATAAACCAATCATTTATTTCTTAAATAAAGCTTAAATATCCATAACAAAGTTGAGAGCCCCCTCAATTTCCGACAACACTCATTTATTTTCACTTAATTTCTTTCCATTCGAAAACAGAAATAATAAGCACAATCCCTTAGGAGAGTCAGGAATATTTCATGATTAAAGGCAATTGAATTTCACATTACCATAGTCGAGTTAATTCCTCTGGAGATGGCCAAGATACAGAATGGCAAAACCTCTACCATTTATCGCAGTTTACATTCCAATTGCCATTTGCCAGCGGTGGCTAAAAGGAGAGGGAAAGACGAGCGGACCCCGTTTGATTGCGGTAAAATGCTAATTAACGGAGCAATGCTCCAGTTTGGGGAAAAACTTTAACCCATTGACAAATGACTACCCGTCTGGGCTGCGGCAAGGCGGTCTGAACTGAACAACTCTTTGGCGCATTTCCTTAAAGTTTCCAGCAAACTCTTTAACGTGGCCCAAATGTTAATAAGCGCATTACGTATACGCCGCCAGTGACCGCGATCTGTGCCGACCTGCCCCGGGAATTTTCGGTCTTAAATTCATATCAAAATATATATATTAAATATTCTCTTACACTGGAATCGGCGCTGCTACTGCTTTGCTTTAATATTTATAGCAAAGTCCCTGGAGGACGAAATGGCTTTTGTGCGCGCTCTCTCTATTTGTGAAATTTAAGCACGAAAAAGGTTCGCATATTAAATGCCACGGTCTGAGCAGCGAGTTATCTGTCCGTCTGCCTTTGGGGAACTGTATGGCTGTATGGCTCTAAACTTGTTGGTTCCATTGGGGGATTCGGTTTGGTTGGGTAATTTGTGGAGTGCCGGGCTGCGTGGGAGAAACCAAACCGAACCAAAGTGAACAGAACAGGGGAGCGATTTCAATTGGCTGCGGATGGATTTAATAAAAGGTGGCGGGGGCAGATTAGGTGTTTGCCCTCCTCGATAAAGTAACCACTGTGCTTACACAGTAATCTTAGCTTGAGCTCCATTAGATATGGTTTTAATGCTCTAAGGTTTTAAGCCACCGCTTATCGTTCGTTTCTCAGGATAATTATTATAACGAAGTTGGGGGCATTTTGAGGAATATTTAGCAAGAAAAATAACAATTTCTTAAAATGTCTAAGCCAATGTATGTGACTAAAGATATCTTTAAAAGTTTCATTAGTTTCTTAGTATCAGTGTTAGTATCATTAATAACAAAAAGGGGCGGACTGAAAATGCCAATCTCTTTAAGGGATATCCATGGAATGCCATTTAAGTTTTTGTTTGGAGAAATGACAAGCGAAACATTCCTTTTGGCTACATAAGCCCTCGAAACTAACATATATGTACTAACCATGCTATTCCATTCCACTTTCCTGTGTTTATTTTATAGTTCATTCAAATTGCCATTGCCAAAGCCCTTCGGTGCAAATTAATTACATCCTTTTTCCATGTCTCTCCCCCCCCACAACCATCTTTCCGCGTCGGTGTGTGTCAGCACTCGATAAGTGCATTGATCACACAGACATCTATATAGCTCATCCGCCCCGTTAGCCCGCCCCCCTTTTGCATTTGACTCAATTGCAATTACAGCGCGAGGGAAAGGGGGAGGGGTATGGCGTATGGGAGCTTGCATATTTCATAGTAGCTACGCATAAGTGTCACTTGTCAAAACACATTTTCCACACCTACCCCGCTTTTCCTTTCGGCCAGAGGCAAAAAAGCATATTTCAAGTGCGCCACTTCATGTGCGTCAAACAGAATGTCGGAGCGAGATGGCACAAACCCGTGCGAGCCAGAGGGAGAAAGCAACACACACACACACACTCACACGTCCACACACATTGCACCACCATCAAAAGCGAACCAAATAGTGAACACCGAACAGTGAACAGAACTGAAAAAGTGCTCAAGTCGAAAGCCCTCGAGTTGTTTTGCAACATTTGAACACGTCAAGTTTTTAAGGTCAACATGTCGCTGGCAGGCAGGCCAGACATTAGACATCAGACATGGCTAAAAGGCCGCGGGGGGTGAGAAAAAAAGGGGGTGGGGCAAAAGGGTTAGCCTGAAGGTGGCATGCGAAAAATATTAGTTGACCCACCACACGAATTGCCAGTTGCATTCGTAGCGATTGTTAAGGGACGACTGGACCATGTAATTGGTTTGCATTTTAAAATCCCTTCACTCTATGACTCTTACAATGTTTTTAATCTATTAAAAACAATGTCTTAAGAAGCATGACTCTATCTTTAAAAACACTAAATATCTTGAATTTACTATGATCATTAAGTACTAACTATCAGGGCCATCGCTCATCTAGATATTAATACTGTGAGTATATTATGGATATGTTACTTAATTAAAGGACAATCTTTTTTGGAGTAAGTGTTTTCATCGGTTATTATTACAGTCTTTTGTATAAGGGGGTTGCTTAAGTTTGGAACCTCTGATTTTTTTTTAATTATGACGGGACTCAAGTTTGGATGAGTTCGATGGTGAATGGTGTGTGTGTGTGCTAGCCAAATTGGAAATTTTTATAACTCAAAAAAAGTGTAGATAGTGTTTTTGTCCAATCAGGTGAATTTTATTTAATCGTGGGGGCTGTTTGTTGTTGTGTGATGCTCGAGCAGTGCGATGTGTGTTGTTGGTGTTCGTATTTTGATTCCAGGTGTTGCTCTTAGTAGTTTGGTTAATTATTGTTTTAACAAGGTCTTTTGTGCTTAGGGTTTGTGTGTATATAAGTGTCAGCATTAATGTTTACCTTTCTGTTACAGTTTCCTGAGGTGCAAAGTATTTTAGTTTTGCTAAAAAGCATCACTTTTAATCAAATGAATTATCCTGCAAAAACCAACTTTGTGTAAACTCATTGATATTGTTATTAGCAAATAAAATCTTCCATAAATTTTCTTTAGCATGATTTAACTTTCCAGTGGTTTATTTTCTAAAATAAAAAATAGTTATTTATTGATACATTTGTCTCCAGAAGCTGATACATATCAATGAAAAAGTATAAAATAAGACAATATTTAAAGTCAGTCTAAATCCTACCTAAGAACTGATTGGTTTATTGATATCCCGAAAGTTCACCCCCCCCTTTGAACGCCACTGGCTTTTGCCCGAAGAAACCCTAGGAAAACCACTCTGGAAACCCCTCTCTGGTCTCCTCGACCCGACGTTTATTGTTACTTAGCTTTGGGGGCAGATCCACGGCTGGTCCTTAGCTCTTCGGATGCCTTGTTTACTCTTTGGATGTTCACGGCTTTATATGCGGAGACGTACGTGGAAACACATGAGTTTGTGTGCGTGCGTGTGTGTGTGTGTGTGTGTGTGTGTGTGTGTGTGTGTTTGTTTCGGTTCTGTAGGAAAACACTTTTTCACAAAATTTTCTCAAAAAGAATGTTAGACAAACCGCTTTGTTGGCAACAATTTGGGTTAAAACTTAAGTGTTTTGCTTCGAGTTGAAACGAAGCCACCGACATCCCCTCCAACCACCGCCCACCACCCTCTGACCACCGTTGCCACAGCCCCTTAAATTCTTTGGCATTGCAGTGCTTTTGGTCTGGCTTAAAACGAATCCCACAAGAAAAGAAAGGGCGAGCAAGAAGGGCAACTAGGAAAAACCAACAAAGTTGGGGAAAACGTGAAATGTTTTTGTGCTTTTCCCTTTCATGCATTCCAAGCCAAGAAGCAGCAGCAGCAGCAGAAACTGAAAATAAGAGAACAAGAGTGCCACTAGGAGGTAAGGAGGTAAATTGTCCTTTTAACTTCCTTCGCAGCTGCTGCCGCTCCATATAAATTTCGTTAAAATTCAGAACTGCACTTTCGCTTTTCCCCCAAAACCGCTTAAACAGACAATGAGCAGAAAGTATCTCGGGGAGCCCCTGAAGAGGCTTCCTCATTAGACCAACTGAAAATAATTAACAGTCATTACCCAAATGAAAACTGCACGAGATGCAGTGGTGGTTTCACTTTTTAAACAATGTACCTTTTTAATCAAAATAAAATGCACACACAAATTTAAAAAGCAGTTAAAAAAGTTACATTAAAGATTACACATGACTTTGTGTTGGTTTTATAAAATTAAATTAAGGTTTTCGATATCTATAATTATTTTCACTACATAAAAGAAAACAATTTTATGGAAAATACTCCAGCCCATGTGCGTTGCATTGGGCTAATTTGATTGGAAGTTTTTGGATGAAGTTTGTGTGGGTAGTCTTACCATATGCCACAAATTTGAGGCCACATCAAAGGAAAAGTTGATGCAAATATATGACCCGAACTGAAACCAAAAACCCAGACCAAACCAAACCAAACCAAACTCGAAACCCAAGCAATCCATTCAAATGTAAGCAAAGTGGAGAAGAGAGACTGAAGTCGCAGATGAATTTGTTTGTTCACATTTTGGGGTTGCATTATTGGATATCTCAGCTCGAACTTAACTAATTTTAAAGTTTTCCAAATGAGAGATCTCTGTGTGTGCGGCAAGTTCAGCAAAAGTTTTCTCAGCTCGTGGAATTAGTTGCAATTTTCAGCATCTGGGGGAAAATTTTACATTTACTTTTGTAGAGACGTCGGTAGTATGACGGAGGGAGCAGGAAATTGTCTACAGCTGCTTGTGGTTGAGCTCCATCATCGTCATCATCGTGTTCGTCGTCATCGACGCTTGACACTTTAAAGTTTTGCAAGAATTTAGCGAAGCAAGTTCACGACTCGGCAAACAATTTGTAAACCATTTAAACGAGTTTTCAAGTAATTGTTATTTGCTTCAAATTTTTCAAGAGTTCGCTTTGAAAGGACACTCCCCAGTTACAGTATGTAGAGTTGAAAATTGTAACTTTAAAATTACGAATTTAGAAAATAAAATTAATTCAATCAAAATGTCTCTTGAAGAAAACCTTTAAAATACCTGGTACAATTAAAGGAGTTTTGGCAAACTTAATTACATAGCATATTGAAAAATAAATGTTGATGTCTTATTCGTTTCTTGCTTTTGTTAGTTTGTGTTTCCCCTAAATCCAACACCAGAAATTCAACCTCAGCTTTGGAAAGATGTCTATTGTAAACAATAATGCTACAAAAGGGACGAGCTGTAAAACTATTTTTATTCCCGGATCAGCATTGGCATCATTGGAAATGAGTAATCAAAGTATTAAGGTATTATACACTTCGTAGTAACGTGCTGCCAATAAAACTTAAGGGACTTTATTGAATGGAAAAGTTTTGTTTTTTTTTTTTTACTTTCCAGACGTAAACCAAACTTGTTCGTAGAGTTTGAGCTTGCCTTATTTGTTTGATTCTAAAGAATATATGGTTTTGGTTTTAATGAATAGAAATGATATTGCTTTTACTTGATGAGTTAAGAAATATAAACATATAATTTTAAAGCAACATTTAACAACAATTGATAGAAGAGCAACCCAACTTATTTGGTCCCTGTTCAACCCAGTCGAAACATTTACTTTTTGCTTTATTGCAGACAAAAGTTTTGCACCGCTCAACCGTTCAACACTTCTTGTGGCAACTTTATGCGGCTGCTCCCGGACCTGTTACATATGCTGGCGGGAATATGGCCCGTTAACCGAGTTAACAAATCCACCCCAAAGGTTCGGTTTCTTTTGTTCGCTCCTCGTGTTGTTGATTACACTTTGGACGGTCATAAATATGTATCAGCGAGCGGTGGAAGTTCATGCAGCTAGTTGGAAAGCTATATAAAAATAAAAGTCCGCAGGAAGGAAAAAAGTTTTTATTTTACCTCGGCGAGTTCAAGTGAAACCTGAGTGCAGTTTTGGGGCTCGGGCAGAAGCTGTGTGGAAAATAATACTGGATTCGTGCTTCAATTTTCATTAACTGCTTGTATCGAAATTTGTGACGATTGACGGTCTCCCAAAGCTCAAGTGAAAAGGTATAGAGTGCTACAAAATAAATATAACGTTTATCTAGCCCTCCTTCTCACCGTCCTTCACATTTTCATCATGGCCCCAATCCTTCTGCACCATACCGTTGAAGGGGCGCGGAGCGTTGAAATCGAGTACGAAATCCCTTGTAAGGTTCACCATGTTGGCCAGTGCCAGATATGCATTTTCTAATCCTTCGATATCTTTTTCAGGATCCAGATTGCGTGTTTCGCGCACAAAATTCTCCAGATAATGTATTAAAAGATCGTGTTGTATAGCCACTTGGTCGAGATTCACGGGCTCATCCAGATTCGGGGTGTAAATGTTTGGATTGAAGCTCGTTAGGCAAGTCTTTTCCTTCATGCTGTTGGTACTGGCTTCTTCAGAGGATACGGAGATATGCAGATATTGTGCAGCTTCATATTCCTGTTCCTCCTCCACCTGCTCCACGTCGTCCAGGATGTCTGGTTCGGATTCGTCGTTAAGTTCGGGGCATTTCCCGTCATCCCCTCCAGCGTTTTGAAGTTCATCATCCTTGGCCACTAGCTCCTTAACCCTATCCGCGTAACGAAGGGTGTTCAGGGTGTGCTCCACACAGCTCGTGGACGGCGATATCATGGCTATCATGCAGGTCTTGTTCTTCTTGCCGCCCACGAAGGAGTCGCGCAGCACCTGGGTTAGCTTGGAGCCACGGAAGGGCAGATGACTGGACTGCCGGCTAAGGGCCCGAATGCACTCCTTGAGGGCCAGCAGCGATTTGTTGATCTCGGCTCCCTCGAGGCGGGTCTGGCGGTCGGCGGATTGCGTATCCGCCCCGCGTTCGTTGCCCGCCAGGTCCACAAAGGAGCACTTGCCGTAGGGACCCCAGGAGTCGGGGAAGTGGAGCGCCATCTGGAAGACGGCATGGGATCGCGATGACTTGGCATTGGCCGCGGTCTGGCCGGAGGTGCGCTCCTTGTTGCCCAGCTCAATCAGCCTGAGCACGTCATCCACCCTGGTCACTGGCATCTCCTTCAATCCCACCACCACCACCTGCTGTCTGCCGTCCTCCAGCACCCGAAGCATCGGTTTGTCCGGGTGCAGGAGATCGAACACCTTGCTGCCATATATCTCAAAGTAGCTGCACGTGATCTTGGCCCCCAAATCGCGATACTTCTGCCGCGACACCTCTTCGAAGACATCGCGGGCCGCCATGGCGTAGATGCCGGTGCCGCAGTCCTGCACCTTGCCGCAGAACTCGCCGCCCATCGTGTGGGTCTTGCCGCTGCCAGTTTGTCCGTAGGCGAAACAGGTGGCGTTGCCGCCCTCGAACATGGTTTGGATCAGGGGACGAGCGGTGTGGTCGTAGACCAGCGCATTGGAGCACTCCTCGTCGAAGGTGTAGTCGAAGCGAAACTTGTGGTGCTCCAAAAACTTGGTGAGATCCACCTTGAAGCGCAGCTCATGGACGATCAGTGAATCGACCGTGGGCACTGTGATGATGTCCATGCTCTTGCAGATGCTTTCCCTTCGACTCATGGGTCTCTTCCGCACGCACACGGTAATGGGCTGCACAAAGGCGCCATGCGGATCCAGGCACCGGAGTGGGGAGAAGTTCAAGGTGGCCTGGTACTGGCGCAGCATCAGGGCCACCTCCCAGTTGGGGTTCCCCGGATCCTGGCGACGCAGTGCGTCCTTCTCCAGCAGCTTCTCCGCCTGGCGGGCTCTTCGCCGCTCCCGTTCCTCCTTCATGCGGTTCACCTCCTGCACGACGCTGATGCAGCGCTTGTTGCCGGGACCTGCCTGGGATACCTGGGATATCTGGGATCCGCGTCCCTTGATCGGACTGGCAATGCGGGAATTGCGGCCCTTGGCCACGTCCACGCGACAGGTGGCTGATTCACCCTGCTCACGATTGCCCACCGAACGACTCATGGGTTTCTCCGGGGCCATCTTACTGCGCAACTCCCGCATGCGCTCGGCATACGGATTTGCACCAACGGATTTCCGATACGAGTTCGGACGATCCACCGCTGGACTCGAATCCCTCGGTTTTGGGATCATAGAGCCCGTCGCTATCGATGTCGGTTTTTGGTTGTCTGCGAAAATGTGACGATTAATGCCAATCAGCTGGCTTAAGGGCACCTCCTTGCCCTTCACCACCGCGTCCTCGGTCCATTCGCCAGTCACAGAGTCGTTGTCCGGATTCTTGGACGTGCAAACCACCGGCTGGATACGTCCGTCGCTCCTCTGGAAGAACAGCTCCTCGCCGATCTTGATGCGATCCATTTATATTCTGGTCACGGCAAGGCCAGCAGCGTCCAGCAATGTGTGTGCAAGATACAAAATAAAATATGTATTGTTTCTGGATTTTCAGTTCGCGTATATATTTTCCTTAATTTCCTATCCACAAGCGAGTGATGATAAAATCTTTTTCCGACCAGACGCTGCTGTAATTTGCTGTCGAGTGTGAGGTCTGATGAGCTAATGAATAGGCTCGAACACTAAAACTTACGCTCAATGCCTAGCCTACTTTTGGTCAAAATGTGTACAAACTAATGGGTGAGTTGGGTTTTAGATCTCTTCAAATGATTTCTCCCCTTGGGAATTACTTCCGCTTGGCAATATGGACCAAAGTTAAAGGGTTTCTTAAAGTGGAGCTAGGTGGGTCTTAAACCATTTCCTCCCGCTTTTGGGGCAATTTTATGGTTAACATGTTTGGGGTGTTGGCTCGTAAATTCCCTGCTTGTCAGGTTTTGGGTTAGCAGCTTCTTTTGATATATGGTCCTTGCCCCGTTACGGGTTAGTACTTTTCAAATTAGATTTGGGCTCCCTGCATCCATCCCTTTGTGTGCGTTGTGTGTGTTATAAACCCAGCGAGAGAACCTTTCTGTATTTACACAAGCGTACACACACATGCCAAAAATAAATAGCTGAGGCAGCTCTCGTTCAGTTGTCTAGACTTCTGATTGGAGGACAATTAAAACACACCTTCGAGGGATCAAACAACATGCTGTTCCCAGTCAGTCAGGTGTAAAAACTAATTTACGGCAATGCCAGTCGAATAACCCAAAAGCCGCAAACTAAACCCCAAGGTGAAATATTTTTAAGAGACTGGGACAACGCAAATTGTGTGCCTATCGTCCCTTTTTGCCCTTTCTGGTCTAGTTTTCCTATCAGTTACTGGGTCAGCACGGGGTATATAGACCATAAATCTCATGGCTGCTGCAATCAGGGCCTGCAATCGCAATCTGCATCAGAAATCAGCGAGCAGTGCCAACTTGTCAGGGCCAAATAGATAGCGGCCAAACTGGAAATGGCGTCAAGGGCGCCATAAATGAGAATTTCCGTTTCATTTCCGTCCGTTCGTTTGCTAAAGTGTGTGTTTGTGTATGTTTGTGTGTGTGTGTGTGTGTGTAGCTGTGCGGTTCATTTGTGGCACATAATGAGCAGTGAAAGCGCCGAGGCACTGTATCGATTTTCATTTAAAGTGGCAGCCGGACCACCGCCAAATGGCATTCGGTGTGCCGAATTTATGGCAACTTGACCTCGGCCATTTGTCAGCATTAGAACACAATTGGAGCCGCGTTGCAGTTGTCGGGGGCAACACAAATGGGAACCTGCCAATGCGAAGGCTCTAACAAAGCCCAAGTAAACAGTCATACAATTCAATTAAATACGGCCTTAGAAAACTCTAACCAGTCTGGGGAATATTTATGGGACCTCGAGGTGGAGAAAAAGTCACATAAATTTGTATGCTCGTGACGCGATAAGCGGCCAACATGTTGATACAGAGGCGAAATAAAATATGTCGTCTGAAAGGAGACCCGGACGCAAAGCCCATAGATTTATGCGGAAATAATCGCTGGTGGCCATAAATTATAGCCAGCAGCAAGACAGAAATCTCCGGTTCATCGATTTACCATCGAGATGTCAGTCACAAACAACACTTTGTTCTCTTAAAACATGGTAAAACACACGCATCTCCCAGCAAACACATACATTAAAATTTAGCCAACACCCGCAGGTTTATTTATACCAGCAAACATGTTCTCAGGCCATATCCGTATGATGCCCCACACCCGAAGGGGCACAGGACCACACAGTGAGGAGCAGCGGTAGGCAAGATTGTTCAGTTTCTATATACTTACAGATTAACCGACTTTTCTCCAATTTTAGCAGCATATTTTCCGACTCGAACTATGGATCAATTAATCCATCTGAATATAAAATACCATTCATTTCCCGGTGAGAAAATATAACCTATCTTGTTACATACAGTTGAAAACACCTCAATTACTTAAAAAATGCAATAATCAATCCAAGATTAAAGAATAGATTGTAATATTTACTAAAAATTTTAGCACCTGGATGCTTCTGCTGGACTATAAGCAATATAAGGCAGCTCGAACTATCCAACAAAACTGGCGAAAATTCTACTTCCGTAGGAAGTTTCAGGACAAAAGGAAGGCAGCCATCACGATTCAGCGGTGGTGGCGAGGCTTTTCGGCCAGAAACAACTACTATGGGTTCGTGGAGCGTATGCTGCAGAAGAGGGTGGTGGATCACTACAACCGATCGGCCACCAAAATTCAGGCTTTGTTCCGAGGCTGGTGGAGTCGGCAAACGGTGCACGACCACAGCAAATTGCTCAGGTTACAGGTGTGTGCCGCCGAGGATCTGCTAAATTGCGTGGCCTTCAAGCTGCATCACCTGCTGCGCACCTACGCAATTCCCGGCGTCTACTCCCTGAAGAACTCCAAGTGAGTATTTAAATTTATAGCATTAACAACATAAAACTGAGAGATGCATTTACTTTTACGTAATGCATACCATTGATTTTTGAACATTTGCTTAACGTTTATATACAGCGTGGGCCCAAATAACTGTCGCACTTTTTCAAAGCTTCGGCACTCTTAAACAAGTGCTTCTATTCTTTTTGTTTTTTCATTTCTTCTTTCTTTATCTTATTTCGTAACTAACGGGGTTTATTGCTGATAAGATCAGTGCAAGTTAGAATTTTGGCGACGATGGAAGCAAAACGGGAGCTAGTGCAAAACTTGCATTTGCAAGGAAAAAAAACAAGTGAAATTGTGAAGTTGCTAAAAAATCTCAATGTGAATAGGCGATTTGTTCAGCGCACTGTGGCTCGATTGAAGGCAACTGGAAGTGTTGATATAGCCAAAAAAACTGGTCGGAAAAGAAGTGTTAGAACCCCTAAAATAATAAAGAATGTGCGTGAAAGAATTAGGCGAAATTGTGCGAGGTCAGCTCGAAAACTAGCCAATGAGCTGAATGTGAGCCGCAAAACAATTAGAAACATCATAAAAGATGACTTGGGACTGAAACCTTACAAAAAAAAAGAATTCATGGTCTGACAGAACGTCAAAAAAAAATGCGACAGGAAAGAAGTGGGCAGTTACTTCGGCGGCACGCAGGTTGCAATACTGTGTTTTCTGATGAAAAGTTGTTCATATTGCAAAAAAGCCTGAACCCGCAGAATGATCGGGTGTATGCAGCAAGTATGGAGGATATTTCAACAGAAAAAATTGCTGTTGAGAGATTCCAAAACACAACGTCTGTCATGGTTTGGGGGGCCATATCTGAAAAAGGTAAGTTACCCCTTCTTTTTATCGATAAAGGCGTGAAAATCAATGCCAAATATTATTTGGATGAAGTGCTTGTGGGCCATTTTTATCCCCATGCATCAAAGCTGTTCGGGAATAAGCCATTTTGCTTCCAGCAAGACTCTGCTCCGGCTCATAAGGCCAAAACTGTTCAGCACTGGTGCAAAGATAACATTCCATGTTTCATGGCTGTTGATGAGTGGCCTCCATCGTCACCAGATCTAAATCCTTTAGACTTCTGCATATGGGGTTACATGCTGGATAGACTAAAGGATTTAAAAAAGATGAATTTGGAAAAGTTTAAGCGACACTTGACAAAAATTTGGAATGAAATTCCTGATGATGTGGTGCGTGCCGCTTGCAATAGTTTTAAGAAACGTTTGAAGCTCGCCCGAAAATACAAAGGGGAAAGATTAGAACTTAAGTCTTAGTAATGTAAGCTATATTAATATATATTAAATAAATAATATTTGTTACTTAAAATATCTCATGGTTTGTTTTTTATTTCAAAAATTAAGTGCGACAGTTATTTGGGCCCACCCTGTATATACGTAATGCATTGAAAGTGACTATTTCAAAAGGCTTTTAAGGATAGTGCTTATAATGGTTTTTATAAACAAACACTTGTTGCAGTATCAAGTTACTAGGTCATTAAGTATTCCTTTTTTGATCGGCAATGCGCATTCTCAACCCCTTCAGGACAATCTCTACCTATGCATTTACTTAACAGTATTAAGTTAAATTTATCTCTGAATTTTTTTAATTCATTATTAGCTACTCCGAAGAGCTTGGTTTCACTTTTTAAGATAATGCTTTTTATTAATATGTTGCTAAGAAAATAATGCTATATATTATACATTTTTATTCAGTTCAGCCTTAAACTATTAAACTTAATTGTTATTATTATTCTAAAATATACTACTTTTTCACCTTCAGCTGCATGTCGCGTATAGAGAAACTGCTGGCAAGCCTGCATTTTCGGTTTCATAAGGGAAACGTGAAATCGCAAGTGGCGAAACATTCGGCCGATAGAAATAAGGATCGAAATAATTTTAAAAAGAGCGATAAGCTAAGCAAAATTCCGTTTGAAGGGGCGCGCTATTGGAGCCAATGCAAGCCGAAATGCGAAAATGCCTTAAAATTGTTCAAGGATATCGACAAACGCATGTACAGGATCATTGAGATGTATGATGCTTCACAGAGGGACGCTCATGCGGCGTTGATGCAAAAGAAATTTGCGCACAGTAAGTTAAGAAAGTACACAAATGATTCTTAATTTTCATAGTACTCATTTTATTAAAATAATGTCCATTTAATTCAATTAATTTCCATTTCATTTGCAGGAAAGCAACATAAGCTCATGCATAACATCAAGAAGTCTGAGGAGAAAAATAAGCGCGACTTTTGCGGCGATGTCATAGCCAGCATGCGCCGCTGGAAAATTCTGGTGGACAACACATTGAGCGTGGATAAGAACATCTTTAGGAAACCGGAAAATCTGGAGAAGTTCCTCACCGAAATATCTCCTTTCGTGAAAGAGTTTGAGAGCTGCTCCTGCTATTGCCGTATTCCCGTCTTAACCGAAATCTATTGCGGCTAAAAGTCTTGTAAAATACTAAATGTGTCCCACTTAAAAGTCTAATAAAACATCAATGCAAATTGACATACTAGACGATTTTATTTGCATGCTTGAAGCATATTGAATACAAGGAAAATAGCTTAATAGAATTATTTTTAGCTGAAAATGGCATTAAACATATCAACTGCAAAGAAACGGGTTATATTAGATGTGGTTATGCTAATTATTTCGTTTTCTTACCAAATACATTTCCAAAAAAACGCATTAGGGCGGTGAAGAATGCAGGTCTGTGGTGATCGGTCCAGGTATCAGTCATCTGATCTGTTTTAATATTTTGTGCCAATAAATATCTACTAGTTTAGCATTTCAAGGTATTTTCCTTACCCAAATTCTCGCAATCCAACCGTTCGTTGTACATGTCTAAACTATTATCGCCTCCAATTGGTGGTACCACTGTATCTTCATTTACATCTGGATCCGCCATGTTGTACTTGAAATTTAGTTCAACTCAATCGTATACCGAATTTTGGATATCAATCTTATGAACTTTTATTTAGATGCGCTGCAAATGTGTTACTTGTATATTAAACGAACTCGCTTTTGATTCGAAGTATTGTGTGAAGAATATTTAAAAGGTGAGGCAGGGCTTGCTTGGTCTGAACGTAATCCTAAATGTACTGTAATAATGTTGTAATACCGGAAATACTTCAAAAGATAAACACACAATTTATAAAAGTTAGGAATCTAATTCTATTCATTTTAAATACAATGGTTAAGTTTTTAGATTTTATTAATATGTTTAATGTTTAATATGTTTATGTCTTTTGTTTTTAATTTTATTTATTTTAAATACAATTGTTAAGTTATTTATATTTTATTTATATCTCTCTCTTACACTTTTTTATAAATCGGTCCATAGAAATTTCTTCTTAAGGCTGGTCTTATATAATGTAAATGAAATATTTGTATGAACAAGGAACAAATTCTTAAAAATAAAGAAGTTGTTTGCTAACATGTAAAATTGCAATCGGCTACGATTCATTTCATTTGGGCCTTTGCAAACCATTAAGACATTTAAAAAACAACGCAATATCAGGTGTACAAATTTCAAAGACACAAAACATGCAATTTACTCCTCCAAGTTTTACCTACCGACACAGCTGCGAATTACGAGCCAAGTATACGATTTATGCTGTAAAGTTTTCAAGGCAAGAACATTACGCATCCCGAGAGAAAACATGCAAACACTGAATGGAAAAGCCAAATGTGAGGACGGATTTTCTCGGAACCTGTCCCTGAACGAGCATAAATTAAGAGGCCAGTTGCTGTTGCTTTTAATTAGACACTAAAACTCGGCCTTGCCTGACCAAAGACCAAAGACTAAGGGCCAGGGGTTTTCTTTCTGGCCACGACATCGGAACAGAGCTCGGCCCAGCAGGAGACTTTGGTAATTGTACGGCTGCCCCGTCATCATCGCCATCGTCACCGCCATCTTCGTTATAATCGCCATCCTCAGATATGCAATTAGAGGACAAACGAAAAATGTATCTTGGTCTGGCGCTGTCATCGTTGCCCTGGGACAAATACATTTTTCCCAGCCTCCATGGCCCACGTATATATATGGTAAACTGGAATTAACCATATTCATCAAGCCCACAACTAAATGCAACATTTTGGGCCGCTAATGACGAGCCGTAGTCGTCGTCGTGAATGGCAACTGGTTTTGCCCCAGGGCCAGGTTCTATATCACTTGGTTAATTACTTATGGTGATGCCCTCCCCTGATCTTCTGTGGTCAGTTTCTATCATTGTGAGTATTCGGATGCTGTTTGCCTGTGGTAGCGAATTTCGTGTATTTTGCGGTTGACATGCCAGGTCTCTTGACATGTTTCAGTGACATTACTATAATGACTCTCAGTCTGGCCTGGCCAGCAGGTAAGATGACAGCATTGTTCTGGTCTTCAAATCATAAATGTTTTGGCGGATAAATAAATTTATCAGAGTAAAAATTTACAAAGTTTTTTTAGTTTCTCGGGATACAGTTTTTGTTAAATACTCCAGAATTACGGTTTAAGTTGTATTTAAATCGGACAATACAAATAAACATTTATATTTTTTTTAAGTTTAACTTCTTATGTTTTTTTAATTCTTTTTAACAAAGTAATAGTTTTATAGTTCAGAATTACGCTTTTTATTGTATTCAAATCGAATCGAATAATTAAGCTTCAATGTTTTAAAACATATATGCGTTTAAGTGGAAATTTAGATTTAATTTTTACAATATCTGCATGGGTATATATACTTCAACTTGCCGAAGTTTACTTCCTTTCTTGTTCCCCAATCCAGTTTTATTTTATTAATCTCGATAATTTTTCGTCCAAATCTCAAACTTACAAAGCCCATATCCATGCTTAAAACAATGATAGCTTAAATCAAAAATTTTTTTTAAATGTAAGCTTATTAAAAGTTTTTCAACGAAATTGTACAAACATTTGGCAGAGCTGGGGAAACTTTTCCATTCCCTGTGTAGTTTTTTCTTTTATTTTTCAGCTGTGTGCAAGCTTTTGGGGAAAATCTCGAGCTATTTTACAAAAAATTAGGAAAGCAAAAGTGAAGGGGGTTGAGCCATCGAAATGATGTAACCAAACCGAAATGGATTCCTAAAACAAAAGTTGCAACCAACAATTTCACTTTCCGTTCAGTTTAAATGCATTGTGTGTGGCTCTTGGGCCTCAAAAATTTCGGTTTTTTCCGCTTCTTAATTAAATGTGTTAAGAGCCAAAAGTTGGCCAACTTTTAGCAGACCAAGATAGTTTGGACACTTTTCCGAGTGGATTTTTTCCGCCAGAGAAGTGGACAGATGAAAAGTGGCTAGCTTTGCAAAGTTTTTAAACTGTTTATTTATATTTTTTCTGACGAATCTAGTTGTAGAATTGGGTAAGAGTTTAAGTACAATTGAAAACCCTATTTGATTGCTCGGCTCTGCACTCTTGCACTAATTCACTTAACTGGCTGTCGAATGAGCTTACGGGAAAATTCCCAGGCGTTTGCACATGTCTTCAACCCTTTTCATTGGATGGTTCTGGGAGGTGGGGACACTGTAACCACAACACAAGGCGTTTCAAATGTTGCCTTTCAAATTAATTAGAAGTTTGCGGTAAGCAAAGCAAAGCAGATCCAAGTTTCCTGCTTGCCCTTTCGGCGCTGGCAGTCATTCATGGACATCATCATCTCCATTGATGGCAACCGAGTAGGCCACAAAATGGCTTTTGGCCAACAATGAAATCTGAGTTCTAATTGCCGGCACACAAACATATAATTAACTAAATAACGAGATGAGCAGGCAGAGAAGTGGGTGGTACCCCAGCCATTTGGCTGCTGTTAACGGCATCCGTAATTACCTTTGATATGCTCAGCCACACTTTCCGGAGTCGGGGTTTTTCAATTAATGTTGGCAAATGTCTTTCCAGGTACTAAGCACACTGTCGTGTTTCTTTTGGTTTTGTGGAGCTGAGTAAAAGTTTTTTAATTTATTGGCTATAAATTCAACAACGTTGGCCCATCATTGGCACCTGCCTGAAACAGTTAAGGTAAACGAACAAATGTACGAACAGAAAGAAAAACATATTAATTTGGTTTTGAGTTAAAATATATTTTGCTTAATGACCTTTTCTAAAGTGAAAGGAGTGTAGTGAATTTATTTTAAAAATGTTTACATTTATTTGAAAACTATTAAGAAAAAGCTGTTATCAACAGATGTGAGACTTGTTTATATAGTGTGTACAAAAAGTTATAGTTATATTACGAGCTAACCACTGAAATGGTTTAAGAAGTCTCCCAGGGGCAAAAACTGAGGTAGAGATGATAAGAACAAGCGAATGTAGGAGAAGACAAAGAGCAACCGATTAACATTTATTGGGTCTGAACTTTAATTTGCCTTGTTGGCCGAGAAGCTTACCTCTCGCTGGCCTTTTGGCCATTTGACATTCGAACTGTGGCTGGATTTATGGGATTGCCTGTGTCGATTACTTAGCCATAAATCTTCGGTGTTTGCTTATGGTCAGCAGTTCAGCCGATTGGCTCGGTGACCCCAAATTGTGTATATGTTTCACGCATTGTTTTGGATTTTCTACTTTCCCTGATACCTTAGACCTACTTCTCGTCCGACAGCAAAACAAATTTACGAGTCATGCCTGGAATACATTTTCTTTCGTTCTTCATCATTGCACCATTAACAGGTTAACTCGTTTTAAATTAAATCTGCGCTGAGCGAAAAATAAATATAGGAATAGCGCCAGTGGAGAAAGAAACAGCGCAGGACTCCTAATTTGCAAAGTTTTACGCTGACTGAACTTTAACCCTGCCGCAGGTGTTAAAAATGATTTGCAAAATGCAAAACTTTTCGTTATAAATTCATAGCCATATATAACTAAAAAAGGGAATAAGAAAGCCAAACGATTTGCCAAAGAAGTTAAAATTGCTCAAGTTTATATACATTTTTCGTTTGCAGCCGTGAAATATGCAAAAAGTTTAATCAAATTCCAGAAAATCGCCATGCTCTAAGTCGTATTTTGTAGTTTTAGTGGCAGTGCGTAAATTAAACGAGTAAATATTTCAAATTAGGAAGAATGGTACAATAGAGTACAAAACAATTCAACTAAAAACACAAAAAGTTTCATTGATGTTTACTACTTTAACAAAACTTGAATTCATCACGAACTTCAAAAGTTTCTGAAAAGTATGCTATTAAAATCTATTTTTGCTCATACGCAATAAAACTCCCAATAATGTAGGCGAATGTTTATGTCAAAATGTATACTTTAGTATATGATAAAAATATGAAATAAATGCTCCTAAATATGACTGCAAATTTTGAAGACTTTCACACAATACAATTGATAAAGAAAATGGAAAACTATTGCGCGGATTATTTACATTTCTCTCTCCACAGGATGTCATAAATCTTATACACCTGTTTGTGAATGTGTAAACGCCCACATGCTGGCACAGATAAATTTAGTGCCAAAATATTTAAAGTCTATTTGTAAAGGCCAAGAACCAATGGAGAAATGCGGCGAAAAAAGAACGAAAACCTCACCGAATAAACCCGAAAAACCGCCAGAACCACCTGAAAAATGAGAAAGAGAGAGGTGGAGCGGATACGAAAGAGAGGGCATGAAAACCCCAGAGAAGCCCCCAACAATTTAACAACTGACTTCATGTGAACTAAGCAAACATGCAAGTGTATGCACACACGGACTCCGACACACACACACACACACGTTAAATGCATAAGTGGGGGTGTAAAAAAGAAAAATTACAGGAAAATTGCAAAGAAAGAGCAAGCGCTTACGCTCACATTTTCCTTTTGTTCTATGACTGTACATGATATTTCCCTTTGCCTCAGTTGGCTGTCTTTGCTTTCTTTACATTTTGTGTGGTTTGATAAAAATAGGCAGTTTTCCAATCAAACGTAATTTTTTGCCTGTTCGCAAAAGAAATAATTTTTTGGTTTCAGCTTCGAGTTTAATGCTGCATACAAATCATTAACAAATGCCAATTTTTTAAAAATAAATAACGACCTAACAGCTTTACAACAAGTTTTGTGATGAGCCAACAATTATATACCCATCAATATT